TAATTTTACATATCCACGTGTGTATTGATGTAAAAGTATATTAGGATCATCAAGAGTTTCTTTATACAAATCAATAAAATAAGATGGTGGTGCATAATCAATAAAACCTTGGCCTACATTTACAGCTTTATGTGCAATGGCCAATGCACTAAATTCAATCCTAAAAGAAATCTTCAATATAGTGAAACGAATTGCAAGATTGTAACAAGGTTGATTACCAAATATTTTTTTCTAATCCAATAAAGCGTTTAGCTAATAAATTATCTGACTTTTTATCAGAATTTTTCGTTTTCGATGAGTCGTCAGAAGCAGAAGCCATCGTCGTAGTGACAAAACGTTTTATGAAGTGTGTACGACGAGCAAAATGCCGAGATAACGAAAGCAAAGATGACGAATAATAGACGGGCGTCATCATATAAATAAATAAAAGAAACAAAAAAAAATGTTAATATTTTTTTTCTTAAGTATTGATTTGTGGCGCCTCTATCGAAAAATAATATTTGCCTACAATTGGACAAGACTCTTTCCACAATATCGATAGATCAATTTAGTCAATAACTAAAAAGAAAAGGCTATTTTGAAGGATTCATTTGTGTTTCCTTTGCTCATGCCTGACGATAATAAAGCAAAACCTAATGAAAACTCGCTAGTAGCGAGTAATCGCCCAACAAATGAAACTATTGGCAGTAGCGAATTTACTGAAACAACAGGTTCTTATCCTGTTCGTTTACCAAAACATCCTCATCGTTCATCAGGTGGATTTATTCTTGAAAAATTTAAAGACTTGTAAGATATATGGTTTTCAATATATTAATATATTTTTTCTCTGTTTTTTCCTCTAAGTTATGACTATTATTGGCATTACTATCGTTGGGCACCATCACGTATTGCAGCACGATTTTTATGGAGTGATAGTGGATGGGAATATTTAAAAGAATTTACATCAACAGGCATGTGGTCACTTGATGTTGATGCACCTATTCCTCAACGTATGGCAGCTGGTCTTGGTTTAGGTTTAAAAGCATCTATATTTATTTATGCTAGTAAAATAAATCTTATTGAAAATTTTTTATTTCTTTATTTATCTATTTATTTTAGTTGGTTATCGTAATCTTCGTACTCGATATCAAATTCCTGCTAATGCTGCTGTATTTCGTGCACTTCGTCCATGTGCATTTTTTACTGCATCATGTCTTATTTATTGTGGTTCATGGCCAGTCGTTCGTGCTTTACGTGGTTATCCACAAACAGAAATTGGTCGTGATATTGATGCAGCACTTGTTGGTGCATTATCAGGTGTCTTAATAACAGCAATGTGGATAAGAAATTCTCGTTTTGTTGGAGTAGCAATTCCAGTTGCATATGTACTTGGAGGAGTATCAGCTGGTCTTTATAATGCAAGTCATGCTGGTTATGTAACTCATAGCAGTGTACGTGCTGGTTGGGCGGATATACAACATTGGAGACGTGGAAGTCCATTTTTTGGACCATCCTATGAAGAACGTTTAGCTAAATTCAAAGCCCAACTTCAAAATGCTAAATATAAAGAATATGTTGAAACATCAATAAAAACCCGTTGGTGATTTAAACAGACTATTTCAAAGACTATTTGTTCTCCTCTTTTCTCTTTTTGAATTCATGTATATGTAGACGAAGAAAACGAATGTCCCATTTTGTCCCTATCCTTTTAAATCCATTTATTCACCATGCTTTTTTTTTGTAGATTGAGGAAAAGAAAAACATGCCGAAAGAGCGTGTACAAAAAAAAAGTCGAGTTCATAAAGAAATTCAAAAAGAAGGTATAGAGACTATTTTTAATTCATCTCAATTATTAAACATTATCTGTTCATATTTATAGGAATAAATTTTAATAAGGATTTCGGTCAACATATTCTAAAAAATCCTCTGATAATAACCAGTATGGTTGAAAAAGTAATTCCTATGTTTCAATTATTAAAAGAAACAAAAAAACTTTCTTTTAATAGGCAGCTATCCGTCCGACTGACGTTGTTGTTGAAGTTGGTCCTGGAACGGGTAACTTAACTGTACGCCTCTTGGAAAAAGCAAAAAGAGTAATTGAAATAAAAATAACTGATATCGAATTTTGATTCTTAATATAAATAGGTTATTGCCTACGAAATCGATCCACGTCTTGTTGCTGAACTTCAAAAAAGAGTTCAAGGAACGTAAGTATTTACATTCCTATTAAATGATATTATTTTATTTTATGGATTGCTTAGACCATTTAAGTCAAAATTAGATATTGTGATTGGTGACATATTGAAAAGTGAATTACCATTTTTTGATTTATGTGTTGCTAACTTACCATATCAAGTAAAAGAAAAATAAACAAGTTTATTTCTTTTTTTAACAAAAACAAAAAACTCTTGTTCGTTGACTTTACTAGATTTCAAGTCCATTTGTATTTAAATTACTTTTACATCGACCAATATTTCGTTGTGCAATTGTTATGTTTCAACGTGAATTTGCACAACGTCTTGTTGCTAAACCTGGTGAAAAACTTTATTGTCGTTTGTCAGTTAATACACAGCTTTTAGCTCGTGTTGATCATTTAATGAAAGTTTGTATTAATTATTTATTTTAACATTTTTTTTATTTATTTATATAAATAATATTCTTTTAGATTGGAAAAAATAATTTTCGACCACCACCAAAAGTTGAATCAAGTGTTGTAAGAATTGAACCAAAAAATCCACCACCAGCTGTTAATTATCAAGTAAAAAAAAAATCATGAATTAATTGATTCATTTTTTTTTTATTGCTGCTTATTGTTGTTCATTTGAGGAATGGGATGGATTAACAAGAATATGTTTTACAAGAAAAAATAAACGTCTATCATCAGAATTCAAGTAAATATTAAAAATTTTACGAAGAAAAAATATTCGTATTGTATATTTTTAGACAAAAGAAAGTGATTGAATTATTAGAAAAAAATTATCGAATTCATTGTTCAATTCATAATAAAGTAATACAAAAAACCAAGATTAAATTTCATTTGACAAAAAAAAAAAAAAAATATATTATTTTGCTTCTTTTAGACTGTACCAAATGATTTTGATATGAAAACAAAAGTTGAAGAAATTCTTACAAAAAATCAATTTGCTGATAAACGTGCAAGACATATGGATCTTGATGATTTTCTTGGGTAAGAAAAAGCTTATATAGTTTTGATAATTATTTTAGTTAAATTATTTTATTTAGATTGTTACATGCATTCAATGTCGAAGGCATTCATTTTTGCTGATATTCAACCGTTGTTTTTGAATAAAAAAAATGTTGTTATCGATTGAATAAATATTTTGTCTTAAATCAAAAATCGTGAAGCTTTTGTCAAAATAATGTCTTGGCTTTATAAAGAAAAAAAAATCAAAAGATGTTTTTGTAATACAAATCGATAGACTGTTATCGAAAGTTTTCTAGAGAATAGAGCAAAGAAATACAAGTTTAGATTGTGTTGATAATCTAATTAAAGCAATATCATTTGATATACGAAGCAAATATTTTTGGAATAAAAAGATTGACGATTGTGGACACTTATGAATCCATCTGCTTGAACAGTTCCTTTCGACAATAACTTCTGTGCACATCTATTTTTTACTTAACCAGGATACCATATACGAGTTTTTGTAGAGTGATTGGCAGCGCATCGAATGGTATATGAGTAATGTGCTGAGGCTCTATATACTGGTTATTATTGCTGCGAAATATATATGGTTCTCATATGCATTGTGCTCACTATAAGAAACTTGTGGAAGTTTTGTTTTTAAACTCAATTCGATGAAGTAATAGATGGTCTTGAATTTTCAATGATGAATAGTTTTTATTCTATTCGGTGTCACAGAACCAGTGGGTACCAACGTGAAACGTTCTGAAAAATTGCAGACTATCAAGTTTTTGATATTTTACAAATAACATCTTTTAGAACAACAAGGTTGCATTGTCAATTTGCAAGATCGTCCCTAGAAAAACTTATTTTCCTATAGGAAGAGACCAGTATATTGACAATGTTGTAACACTATTGAATTGTCGTATCGAAAATTTTTATGTAGCATTTATCATCAGAATATTGCTGATAAGGTGATTAAATAGCTTCTTTACGAACAGAAAGTGGGTTTTTGATCACTACACATTATAGGAAGTAGGCCGTTCATTTTTATTATTTCTTTTTCAAATTTTTATTCTGATCATTCAGGCTGAATATATGCATGAACATCTAGAATAATCTATATCTGATATTTTTTTCAAAAATGAATTTTTCCTTATGTAGTACATCTCTTCAGGGATTTGGAGGTCAAAAAAGAATCCATTTTCGATGTATAAAAGAGTTATTTAGCCATTTTGTCAGGAATGTTCAATTTTTTTGGTAAAATATCGTCTTCATACTGGTTCATTCATAAACGAAAATCGGCTATTCTAGGGGACAATCTCTAGAGTCTCTGATGCTCTAAAAAATATTATCTATGAAATATATAGCGCTCGATATTCTGCAACTTTTCGAACATTTTCACGTTGGTACTCACTTGTTATGTGGCATAAAATAGAACTGATTGGAATACTATATAGTCAAGAAACAACCTAGACATGAGAAAAGGAACCATTTTTAGATATAAAGAAAGCAATGATGAAAACTATTGATTATAGAATATTGAAGAGTATCTGTAAAAGTAATATATATATTCATCAATGATTATAACCAGTATATGAAA